AACTGAAGTTTGAGAATCTTGTTTGTACTGATTCCTTTATGCTGCTCATCACAACTGCTTTTTTATTACTGCTATTTGTTGGTAACTAGGAGACATCTATATCAAGGGTTCAAAGCAGAGCATTTTATGAGATATTGTCATGGTTTTAGAAAAGGACAACATTCTGTCCGATACACAATATTATCTAACAAGTAAGAATAACAAATACACAATTCAACGTTTTTAACACAACCTTGCTAAAGTCAATTCATCCAGATTTAGAAAATTGAAAATAATGGTTAAAGTGGTAAGATGCCCAAAAGCATTAATTTATCATATTGCAGCTTACCAATTCTTAGATGTGATGGCTGCATGCGTTTTCTCTCTTTTTATTTTCACCTAATGATCCACCCAGTTGTTTCAACAGAACATGCTCTACAGCAAGTGTAGCAGTTTACAGGGAAGAGACAAACCATGTACCACTGACAGGGGTGCTTACATTGATAAGTTCTTAGTTATTCATGTAAAACCAGGGGCGGACTAACCATTTGGAAACTCGGGCACTGCCCGAGGTCCCAGGGTCAGTATGGGGCCCCATGAGATGCCCCTGGTACCTTTTTCATAGGCTTTTTTGAGTTTGGGCAAGGATACAGGGGCCCCATGATCCCCTATTGCCCGGGGGCCCCATGAGTTGTCCGTCCGCCCCTGTGTAAAACCTTTATCCCAAAAGAAAAAAACTGTTTGCTGTAACTGCTTATGTAGCTGCAGTGTGAGCTGGAGTTTGGCTTCAATTTGTTAGTGTATCTAAATCTGCTAGTCCCTCTAACATGCCCCTATCCCCAGACAATGCTGCTGTCCAAAAGTGTTTCTGTTGCTCCTTTATCTCTTATCCTTCCTCACATTCCTGGCAAAACATTACCCTATGCTACTGGGTACTATCTGGTCATTATGCACAACTAATGTCCTAAAAGGTGGTACAGGAACCGGGGGATGATATGTGCCTAGATATCTAGTAGGGACAAGTAAATTGCTGTCCTTGCTCTAATGAACTACAGTCGGGCAAACAAAAGTATTTAGTCAGCCACCAATTGTGCAAGTTCTCCCACTTAAAAAGATGAGAGAGGCCTGTAATTGGCATCATAGGTAGACCTCAACTATGAGAGACAAAATGAGAAAAAAAACCAGACAATCACATTGGCTGATTTGGAAAGAATTTATTTGCAAATTATGGTGGAAAATAAGTATTTGGTCAATATCAAAAGTTTATCTCAGTACTTTGTTATATATCCTTTGTTGGCAATGACAGAGGTCAAACATTTCCTGTAAGTCTTCACAAGGTTGGCACACACTGTTGCTGGTATGTTGGCCCATCCTCCATGCAGATCTCCTCTAGAGCAGTGATGTTTTGGGGCTGTCGCTGGGCAACACGGACTTTCAACTCCCTCCAAAGGTTTTCTATGGGGTTGAGATCTGGAGACTGGCTAGGCCACTCCAGGACCTTGAAATGCTTCCTACGAAGCCACTCCTTTGTTGCCCGGGCGGTATGTTTGGGATCATTGTCATGTTGGAAGACCCAGCCACGTTTCATCTTCAATGCCCTTGCTGATGGAAGGAGGTTTGCACTCAAAATCTCACGATACATGGCCCCATTCATTATGTCCTGTACATGGATCAGTCGTCCTGGTCCCTTTGCGGAGAAAAAGCCCCAAAGTATGATGTTGCCACCCCCATGCTTCACAGTAGGTATGGTGTTCTTTGGATGCAACTCAGCATTCTCTCTCCTCCAAACACGACGAGTTGTGTTTCTACCAAACAGTTCTATTTTGGTTTCATCTGACCATATGACATTCTCCCAATCCTCTTCTGGATCATCCAAATGCTCTCTAGCAAACTTCAGATGGGCCCGGACATGTACTGGCTTAAGCAGGGGGACACGTCTGGCACTGCAGGATCTGAGTCCCTGGTGGCGTAGTGTGTTACTGATGGTAGCCTTTGTTACGTTGGTCCCAGCTCTCTGCAGGTCATTCACTAGGCCCCCCCCGTGTGGTCCTGGGATTTTTGCTCACTGTTCTTGTGATCATTTAGACCCCACGGGGTGATATCTTGCGTGGAGCCCCAGATCGAGAGAGATTATCAGTGGTCTTGTATGTCTTCCATTTTCTAATTATTGCTCCCACAGTTGATTTGTTCACACCAAGCTGCTTGCCTATTGCAGATTCAGTCTTCCCAGCCTGGTGCAGGTCTACAATTTTGTTTCTGGTGTCCTTCGACAGCTCTTTGGTCTTCACCATAGTGGAGTTTGGAGTGTGACTGTTTGAGGTTGTGGACAGGTGTCTTTTATACTGATAAGTTCAAACAGGTGCCATTGATACAGGTAATGAGTGCAGGACAGAGGAGCCTCTTAAAGAAGAAGGTACAGGTCTGTGAGAGCCAGAAATCTTGCTTGTTTGTAGGTGACCAAATACTTATTTTCCACCATAATTTGCACATAAATTCTTTCCAAATCAGCCAATGTGATTGTCTGGATTTTTTTTCTCATTTTGTCTCTCATAGTCGAGGTCTACCTATGATGCAATTACAGGCCTCTCTCATCTTTTTAAGTGGGAGAACTTGCACAATTGGTGGCTGACTAAATACTTTTTTGCCCCGCTGTATTCTATGGTCCTAATATGCTTCCTCTGCCAGGTTTATAGCACTTCTCATGTTTCAGTTGAGTACAGTAAGTGAGTGCTGTCACTCTAGGACAGGAAATGTGTTACCAGCAGGTTCATTGGATTAAAATAAAGGAAAAAAAAAACCTGAAGAAGAAAAATTAATGTAACCACCACATCTATGGACTGGTAAACTGCAATATTGAATTTTTGTTCCTTAGTTTAGAAACACTTTAATTGAAGCATGGCATATGGAAAAAATATTTTTTTTATATTACAGGATCGGGGATGTTTGGGTGTATGTACACTTTACAAAAAGCTTTTTAGGTCCCAATTGTTACTTTAAAAAAATGTTAATAATATCAGATTATATTACTAATATTCTACAGGATTTATATAGCGCCAACAGTTTGCGTGGCGCTTTACAATATAAAGGGACAATTACAATACATTTCAATACAGAAGAAATAGTATCTTTTAAGTCAGAAATGTCTATTTGCATTGTGCAGTGTGATACTGTGGGGTTTATTTACTAAAGCTGGAGAGTCCAAAATCAGACTTCCTTCTGCATAGAAACCAATCAGCTTCTAACCTCAGCTTGTTCAATGAAGCTTTAGCAATGAAACCTGGAAGCTGATTGGTTTCTATGCAGAAGTGAGTCTGATTTTGCACTCTTCAGCTTTAGTAAATAAACCCCTGTATGTCAACAACAAGCAAGGGTTATCCCCTTTATTATTAATATATTTGTGCATGTCTGGCTTTTGCAATTCATTTTTGACTCTACTCTATGACTTTCTTTATATGCCCATTAAAATTTGTATCCCTATAAATTATTTAATTTTAGAATTATTACTGCTGTATACTGTACCCTCAATATTTTTGTAATGCAATTTCATTGGTTGAGCAGAGATTAACTTTTACTTTTTTTTTGGACTTGTACTTTTTTAGAAAAATGTTGCAATTGATTTTAAGCACCCTGATATATATAATAGTTATCTTGATCTTGGTTTTGTCCTTCACATCACAGAAGTCTCTTCTGGCCTGCAACCTTTCAATATAATGAGGATAAAATACACGTTAAGGTTGCTGCACTGGGAAAAGTAGATCAGGATTTGTTATATTATAGCTAATATTCAACATTGCTTTGGCCCTATTATCTACTGTATTAGAAAATAAATCTTATTTTCTAGAATAAGCCATTATATTCTTCGTAAAAATTGCTATAGTGTGAAATTGAAGTTTTTAAGCTTTGTCTTCTACTTTGTTTATCTTACCTGTACTAAAACTTATTTCTTTTACATTGTATATAACAGCCCCTTATCCCAGAAGTACCCATTGAGGACGTTGCAAAGTCCTTTCCCTTACTTTTGTTAAGAGTATTTAATACAGGTTTGCCATATAATTTTATAGATAATTTACGTATTATGTTAAGGACTAAAACATAAAAAAGTTAAGGACTAAAACATAAAAAAGTTATGTATGTTAAGGACTAAAACATAAAAAAGTTAACAGCTAAAGCTCAAATCGCAGAAATGAGTCATTCGAGTAATGTGTCTCCTTTCTTCCTATTTTGTATAGCTCCATAAGGACTCTCCAGTTTCACTACAAGAACTGTAGCCAACAGTATTGTAGAAGTGATCATATTTTTACATTATGTATGAACCTAAGCCGTGCAATAATAAAAAAAATACCACTGTGCAGTTAGCAAAACTATGCTTTTGTGAGCCACTATTGCAATAATAAAGTGCCATCTGAAGACAGAACGGTGTAAAGTACTAGCAAGATGTTGAATTGCTCAGTAGTTTGAGATTAACCTTTTGGAATTAATCCTTTCTTGAACAACACATTGATTTCAGTGTACTGTAATTTAAGCATTTATCACCAAGGGGTTAATCTCAAGATACTGAGTATTAACATATTTATTGTATTCTAGGCTGAATAATTATTCCTCTGCTCTATGGTAAGATTTAACAGCCACAGCAAAGAAAAAAAGAAAGCTCCAGCTGCAGTGTAATTAGCAATCCACTGAGAAGCACAATATATTTAGCTAAAGGGAGCATAGTCCTTGTAGAAAAAGAGAAACGTTTCAACAGGGAAAGCAAAATTGTTAAATAACTGAGCTCCACTAAACAACAGCTGCTTAGAGAGTATAAAATTCCCTGCATCCTTTCCTCCCTTAACCTGTACCGTAGTGTCACTGTTTGCCACTTTCAGCTAACAGGAGCATTTTACAAAAGCAATGCGCACATGGTATTTCAAAAAGTCTTCCATGTTTATCAGAATGTCTTATGTGGGTGTGATAAGCTATACCAATAGAAGTGAGATGTGGTTCTGATCAGGGGTGGACTGACCATTTGGAAACTCGGGCACTGCCCGAGGGCCTGGGGTCAGTAGGGGGCCCCATAAGATGCCCCTGGTACCTTTTTCATAGGCTTTTTTGAGTTTGGGCAAGGACACAGGGGCCCCATGATCCCCTATTGCCCGGGGGGCCCATGAGTTGTCAGTCCACCCCTGGTTCTGATGGATATAGGAGGGTTCTTCAAGTTTCCACACTTTTAACTCAATTATATGTAGCACCCTCTAGTGTGCTACTAGAATAGTGTAGAGTATCATTGGCAAAATCATTGTGATGACTTATGGTAGTTGTGTGAGTCAAGTGATTGGGGCCGGGTTATTGCAGGTCAGCTGATGATTCAATAGGTTGTGGCTTTATCGCCTCCTCCTGGCTCTGGGAGACCATAGAACCTTTCCGAAGTCAATAGGAAGAAAGGGGTGGAGGCCCAATCTACATATTAATGGAGGGTCTTGGAGTAGAGTGGTGGACTAGCCTATAAATATGGGAGAATCAGGCTGACAAGGGAATCGAGTGGAAGATGAAGTTCTGAGGAGACTGTCGGTGTCTAGGTCCCCCTAGGTCTTGGGGTGGGGGGGCTGCCTCTAGGCTGGGCGCGGGCTGGCTCAGGAGAGGTAGGGATGAGATCAAGGCCTTGAGCAGTAAGGAGCAATGATGACAGTGTGAGTACAGCAGTACACTCTGGGATCTACAAAGAGAAAGACTGCCAAATGTAGCAAGCTTTCTTAGGACAGCACTGGGCTCAATCCTTTATCCTTGTCCCAGGAGATCTTCTGAGATGCCAGGAGGGCTGGTAGTGCTAACAGGCCGTTGAGCTGGCAGCTCCAAAAGACGGAGAGAAGACGTCTCTGCATGTAGCTACAAGAAGAAAAGTGATTTTTGAGGGGATGCTAGTTCCTTCGCCCGTAAGGGGCAGCTGCTACTGATCCGTAATGACTGACAGCTTTCAGAAAAAGAAAAGTCCAAGATCTGCTTTGTACATAGAGAGGAAGTGTCCCCCTTCCATTGTTTCAAATCAAATGGAGCATTCCATAATCCCTATCCAAGTTGAATTCTCCTAATAAAACAACAAAACCAAGTTCATGGGCTGGTCAAAATGAAAAACAAAACAGCGCTGGGAGAGGAGCACACATGAAGAGTCTGGATAGGTTAGTGACAAATGACAGATACAGCGGGAGAAATACAAATTGGGGAATAGGCGTACAATAGTAATGAGTTCAAAATGGTGTGGCGATGAAGCGACAAATGGCCACGGGGAAGTCTATAGTCCAAGGGTCCTAGGTGGCGGATGGATGGTGAAGGCAGCTCCCCATAGAGCGAAGCAGAACTCTAGAACAGGGGTGGGCAACTGTGGCCCTCCAGCTGTTGGTGAACTACAAGTCCCATCACGCCTCTGCCTTTGGGAGTCATACCTCATGGGATTTGTAGTTCTACAACAGCTGGAGGGCCACAGTTGCCCACCCCTGCTGTAGAAGATAAATCAGACACTAGGGGGTGCCAATCTCAGTGTAGAGGGTTAAAGATTTATTGGTAACAAGAAGTTAAAAATTACTCACAAACGTAAGAAGTATATTAGCATGGTAAAGGAATGCCTTTGGTAAGCCCTTAGTCTGCCAATGATGTGAAGATGGATCCTGGTTATGCAGGATGAGCAGAGATGCAGCCGTCAGTGTTCAGCAATGCAGAGAGTTTTTGAAAATGGCGCCGAAACCAGCATGAATCGCAAAGAAGTCAGGACCTCAGCAGGTGACCAATAGCAGGGCAGGAACAGGGTCAGGTGACACTGTTCAAAGCACTTGTTTCTTTTTCAGACCTCTGCCCTCTGCCCTCTGCCCTGCCATTGGTCGCACACCGAGGTCCCTACTTCCTTGCTGCCCACGTTGGTTTCAATGCCATTTTCAAAAACTCTCTGCATTGCTGAACACTGACGGCTACATCTCTGCTCATCCTGCATAACCAGGATCCATCTTCACATCATTGGCAGACTGAGGGGGCTTACCAAAGGCATTCCTTTACCATGCTATTACACTTATTACATTTTTGAGTAGTTTTTAACCTCTTGTTACTAATAAATCTTTAACCCTCTACACTGAGATTGGCGCCCCCTTATATCCGATTGATGGACTGGTCAATGTCTTTGGATGCAAATCTGTGTAAAAAATACCTGTGGCCTGGCTGTGTGGAGGAAAGCTTAGGGATACCCACAACGCAGAGGCCCTCACGAGGGTAGCTCTACATATATTTATAAATAAAAGTGCGAAAACTTTTTGAAGACCCCTCGTACAGTACGTCTTCCTTCAGAGAAACTGATATACAATTAAGGTATAGTGTAGGTATCCCTTGTTCTGTTTTCCGACTGCTAGCTCTCTAACCCGACAAAAGGAGTGCTCAACAAATGACTCTTGGGTGGGTATTGAGGAGTTCCTAGTACAAAGGTTCATATCACTCAGATGTCTTTTAAAAATGTTTATTGGTTAAGATCAGCAAACACAGCCAAAGTGTTTTGGGGGAAAAGCCTCCCCCTTCCTCAGGACTTGAGCAGTGCATGTTATTAGAATCACGATGAGTTGCAAAAGGAGAACTATTTTAAAACTTCATAAAGAATGTCAAATATTAACAGCACTATACCCTGCCAGCAGTTCATAGTACCATTAGGATTTTACAGTCTTTATAAAGCCCTAAGATAGTTCTCCTATTGCAACTCATCACGATTCTAATAACATCCACTACTCAAGCCTTCAGAAAGGAGGGAGACCTTTCCCCTGAAACATGTTGGTTGGATTTGATGCTCTTAAAGTAGAACTAAAGGCAAAATATTTTTGTCCATTTTGGATAGAGTTGGGGAGGGTTTAATAACCCCTGTCAATTTTTTTACATTTTGTGTTCCATTGTAGAAATTTTCCTTCACTTCCACTCCCATAGCCAAAACAGGAAGAGGAGGAAAACTGCTCCAAAGTGAGGGACCCCTGGTTGTCCCCAGGGTCACCAGAACTAATGTCCCCATTGGAAGATTTTTCCTCTATTCCTATTCTGGGGACAACTAAAAATTTGGGATTTTCTTTTACTTTCACTTTTAGTGATAAAAGTACATAAGACAAATAGAGAGGGTGAATCTCCTTAACCACTTCCTGTCCGGACACTTTTACCCCCTTCCTGTCCAGGGCAATTTTCAGCTTTCAGCGCTATCACACTTTGAATGACAATTGCGCAGTCATGCAACACTGTACCCATATGAATTGTTTACTATTCTTTTGAGACAGATAAAGCTTTATTTTGGTGGTATTTATTCACCGCTGGGATTTTTATTTTTTTTGCTATATAAATGAAAACGTCCAAAAATTTTGAAAAAAAAAAGTGTTTTTCTTATAAAATTGTGCAATAAATAATCTTTCATCATAAATCTTGGCCAAAATTTATTCCGTTACCTTTTTAGTAAAAAAAAAAAAAATACGCTAAATTAGTTTATAACCAAAAATTATAATTTTTAAACATTTATTTTACATTTTTAGTTTATTTTTTTATATTATTATTTATGTTGTTTTTTTTTTTTTTTTTTTTTTTTAATATATACCGTCACCCTAGCAGTACAGTGTCACCATGGTGACACTGTACTACTTGTGGGGGGTGATGATTTTTTTTTTTTTTTTTTTTTTTTTTTTTTACAGTGTTTGCTTTTACACCCATATAGGATGTAAAAGCAATCATTTCTCTCTCTGTCTGTATTCTTGCAGCCATTGAGAAATACTGTGTGAGCTGTGATTGGTCAGAGCTTGTCACATGGTACAAGGCTGTTGTGAATAGCCTTGTACCATGTGACCTCTGTGATCATTCACATATTTCACACGTAGTAAGCAATGATGTCACAAGTGACATCTTGCTTACTACTTTGCATGTGATCACTGATTGGCCAATCAGTGATCACATGATCGGGACCTCGTACAGAGGTCCCGTCCGACGATCGGTGTTTCACTGTGTCCGGAGGACACAGCGGGCACCGGATCGCGGTGCTGCGCGCTCCCAGGGAGCGCGCACAACTAGAAATAGCGGGTGCTGTTTATGAACGGCAACCCACCCCTGGAGTGCCACCGCCCTGCCGTTTAAAAACAGCAGGCGGACGGCAAGTGGTTAATGGAAAACAAACAGCAATAAAAACCCTGATAATTCCTCCAAAATCTATCCAAAAGTTTTGCCGTTAGTTATACATTAACCATCTCCTGCCCATAGGACGTACCCGTACATCCTTGGGTTGCAGTGGTTACACTGAGGTCATTGCTGCAACTGCTGTCATGATCCCAGTATCAATGTTTTCAGCCAGTGATCCTGTGTAATGTAAAAGCAATCCCTGTGGCTGTAGAACCACTGGATAGCTTTTACATGGGGCAGAAGGTGCCCCCCCTCTCCCACCATCTTCTACTGCTTGGGGAGTCCAGGACTGAAGTCGGCAGTTCCGGAAATTGCCAGATCATGTCCATGGTCTAAGAAACCAGAAACAAGGAGTATTCTGTCACTTCCAGTTTTGGTTTGTTGTTTGCAAACCATTACTGGTTTGTAACAGCATCCAATCAAATCTATCTTAGTTGGATCCGATGCTTTTAAGGGCAGGGGAAATATCTGGAATCCAATAGACTAAGAGTATAGAGTACTTGTCACCGAGCATGTTAACCAAAAAAAAAAAAAACTATTTAAAGAGACAGTGTAAAAAAAAAAGTTTTTTAAAGCACCTTCGCATACATAGCACTCACGCATATGTAAATGGTGTTTAGCCTAATTCGGACGCGCGAATCGAAATTTTTCCGAAAATGGCGGCTGACATGTGCGGCGACGGAGCGGGGATGTCGGGGAAGGCGCGCAGACAAGGCGCGCTGCCCCATAATGCATTCCTCAACGACATGTGATCGCATCAGCCAATCAGCAGCCAGCCAGCCAGCACTGTGTAATGGTCGAGGTATATATAGCGGCCATTTTGGAAATCTTCATTTGCCTGCAGTCATTGAACAGAGGCAGACCGCTCTGTACTAGGGACAGGGACAGAGTTAGGGCCACAGAAACGAGAATTGGGGACAGAGAGAAGTTACTTAGGGACAGAGAACCATTACTCAGGGACACAGACTTGTTAATGAGGGCCACAGAATCGTTATTTA